GTGGTTGGTTACCCCCGCTTCCCGAAGGCCCTGAATGAAGAAATGAAAAGACGAATGATGAATGCAGCCAGACTAACGCAGACGAGCCGAGCTTTGGCGGACGGAGCAGAGCTTATGTACTTTGTGCGAAGCGTCCCAGAACGGCCAGGGGCTGTATGATACAAGGCCGGATGAGTGAAGGATACGTGGGGAGTCGAGCCCCGAGTGCGAACTGAGTTTTGGAAAATGACACGAAGTCGAGTACTGGGGTGATAATGATACGTGGGTAAGGTATACTTGTTGCACGAGACTGGAGACATTCACGTACAATACGTTGGATAGCTTGGCATTAGATATGATATTCTTGAACGTCTTGAACCTTGGATGATCTGCAATTTGAGCAAAGAGTGGGAGATTCTGAGGAAGAAAAAGGCTACATACGCGCAACTTGAAGACCAAAGTCGAGCGGGGAATCGAACCCCGAGTCGCATCACGAACGGCTTGAAGGCTGCGATGCGCTTCCGCCATGCCCGAATTCCTGGGATGTTGACGAAGTCCGCGGCTAAAGATATCCATTTGGACGGGGATTCTTGAAAAGAAATCCAGCGGGGGCGTCGAGCTTAAGAGCATTGGACCGGTATAGATCCGTGTACTGGCGTAGCACCACTATGAAATCTCAGCGCTTCTGGGTGAACTTGTGAGTAACAGTAAAAGCAACCGTAGGAGACTCGTACCGATCTGCTGGATTGCAGGGGACTATGTTGTCCCCAAAAGAAACCTTCTCGCTGGTATACGGGAGTCGAATCCACTTTCAGATTGAAAGGGCCAGATTTTCGGTCCGTGATTTGGCGAGGACCTGAAATTGAGCCCGCAAAAGGACCTGTTATACAGTCATGGCAGCTCAGGGATAAGATACGAAGTCCCCAGCAGCAGCCGAATTTCGAGCAGTCGTGGTTTGAGACAAGAAGCGTCTGTGGCGGTGTAACGTCCATATCGGGAAATCGCGGCTTTTCCTTCACCTCCACCTCACCATAGTCACCGACGCCGAGAAGACTACCAGCAGCGCGACGAAGGCATGCTACTATTGAGCCCCACTACTACGCCCTGGGGAATTGGGAGCAAAAACGCGACTACGACACGGCAAGAATGGATGACGAGTCATCGGTGGCTTTTTGGCATTTGCTGACGCTGGTACTCGATGCATCGTGCGTTACCAATTCGTCGGATGGGTGAACTCTGCTCACGATTTGCATTATTTTATGATACCTAGTGAACTATTGCACCGACCATGGAGGTTCTTCTCGGCATTCGTCACGGTGGCACCAGCATCGATGGCGACGCCAAGTCCTGGTCAAAGCAATTCGCCCATCTTCGTTTTACTTCTGGGGACGGAAAACGCTTCAGAGTGCCTCAGTCTCAATTCGTGGCGACGTGGTCTTCCGTCGGGCTGATACTCGCGCCCACTCTGATTCGTGGCGAATGCACGTGTCTTTTTCCTCGTCTTTCCAGCTTGTCATCGACCTAAGCATCGTGATTTAGGGCTGTTATTATCACTGGTTTACTCAGCCGAGGGGAGGAGTTGGGAGCTTGGACGCTTGGTACGTTACGTGCCTTTTCCTTTGGGACTGCGGAATCTGCCTGTGTATACCGTCGAAGCCCGTACCCGGCGTCCCTGCGCGTGCGCTCTCGCAGGACGGCGCAGCTCCCTCCTCCTCCTCTCTCTTCCCCGTCTCCGTCGTAATTGTGAATATACTGACGCTTTCCATAGGCCAAATCCACGCATGGACGGGCAACGGATTCCGTACAGACTGCGGCTTGCAGGTGTGTGCGTTAACCTTTTCCCTTTCTCCCCGTTCCAGACCCTCTTCAGTCCTCCCCGTCTCGCCTCTCCACCCCTGCTCCTCTGTTTCTCCTCATCGTTATGACATACCGACGCTGACGCACCCCCAGGCCATCTGTGTAGTTCCTGTCGGTCTTGCCTCTGGCCGCGGCAGAAATTTCTCGTTGCCCCCCTTCCCTACCTTCACATCTCTTCGTCCTACCCATTCTCCTTCCTCATCGCCCCTCCTCGTCCCTCCTTCCCATTCGCGCTCCCTCCTTCTTCCCTCCCTCCCGTCCCCTCCGCCCCGCCCTCCCCCTCCCTTCTTCCGATCCCCGTTTCCTCCCTTCCTCTTCCATCCCCTTCACTCCATCTTCGATATTCCCTCGTGCCTCCCCTTCTCTCCTTCTCCCCGTTTTCTTCTTCTCCAGGCATACATCGAACGGGGATGGGTAGCGGGCTTCGTGCGCGCGGCTGATGTGGCTGGGGGACGGATGTGCGGTACGCAGCGCGAGCTACGAGGACGACGGCGCCGGTGTGGAATGCGCCGCGGCGCGTCTGTCGTGTGACGCAGCGAGGGCAGCGCTCGCGGGACGGACCGGGGCTGGCTGCGCAGCGTGAGCCGCGGTGACGGCTGCGTATGGGTGGAATCTGTTTGGCCATGGCGCAGTGGGAGAATAAGCGATGGTGTTAGGCGTGCATAGAGGCATGTGGCGGTCGCAACGGCGATGTAATCCGGAGTGGTGCATTGGGAGGCACGAAGCGCGGACTGAGGGGAGGGGAAGCAGTATCTTGCGGCGGGCCGCGGGCGGGCGCGGGGTACGTCTGTCGTACAGGGAGAGTCTGAGCTGGTGGGGTGCGTCTGCGTGCGGGGAGTGCGAAGAGATGCAGCGGCGGCGGGGGGCAGCACGCCACGATGACGGCGTGGTAGTCTCTGCCGTGCCCCGGGCCAGCGACGGTGATGACGGCGCGTCCGGGGTGCGGCGTGCTCGGGACGACGAAAGGGCGGGCGACAGCGTGGAGGTGGGGACGGCACGGGGGGTGTATGGGAGGAACCGGGTGCTCTGCGCGCGCGTATGCCTCGAGCATGACGGGACGCGGACGGCGCTGCGTCTGTAGACAACGACGCCGGGGCGCGCCTCTGACGTGCGGAAGGGTGCGAGCCAGGAGAGACGGAGTGAGCGCGCACGGAGCCGGCACTGGGAGGTGCGTGCTCGTCGCGGGCTCGCCGCGTATCTCTGTATGCATCACAGACTGTTGCATAGGACGGTGGCGGACCGCGGGTTATTTGGGAATGGCTTGCGGTGAACCAAACCGCTGTATCTATCGAGAATACAAACCTTTCACACGATTGATAAGTGGCTTCAAGTTGCCCACTTTTACTTCTTGCCTGCACTGTCGCTCAGTTTCGAGCAGAAGCGTCCGGTTCATCCCAATCGCTTCCGCAATCGGACGCTGCGCAAGTCCAGCTGATTCAACCCAGACTTGGCAGTCGATGCGACGATCTCTGGTACGCGTTGTGTTCTTCTTCGGACCCACAAATTTCATAACTGCGTATCGGGCGTGGTGTACGGAACACAACGAGCGTTCGTGGAAGTGGCTCGGATGAGATCACATAACTCGCAGTTCGGGGTTCGACTCCCGGCGTCCGACTGTTGGGGAATTGCCCCAGCAAGATCTTTTTTATAACTTTCTTCCATCCACTTGCCCCTATCTTCCCCGGTTCAATAGTAGCCACATGAGTCTCTTGTCTAGCGCAATTTGGCTTTGATTCAATCCTAAACACGCTACATCTATGTTGTAAGCGGCCCAGCCTCTGGTTTGCGCACCACTTCACTTGATACTCACAGCTGTAGGTATCGGCCGTCGTGTACGGGAGTCCGTAATGGGACATTGCGAGATGTCTTGTAACCACTTGCGCTTCGATTGAACTTGCAGAGATCAGTAGGTGCTTACAGCCCGGGTTCGACTCGGATTAAAATTGCCTGCGGCCGTAGAACTGACCAGCTTTCAGACTTTCTGCTCGGGTAGACAGACGAGACGCAATCCTCTACACATTTATACCTACGCACAACTATTAATCTCTCTGTCGAACGCGCGCTTCATCTACTGGTGTGCCCCTCGACGTTCTCATACCGGCTTTATGGGTGAATACATCGGGCGTGGTGTATAGCGCACCGCGAGGCGGATTAGAGCCAAACATCTTTGATGATCTCGCAGGACGGGGTTCGACTCCCCGCGTCCGAATGAAGCTTCGCCGGTGAGTATTTTTTGTTTCGCTCTGTGCTTTCAGTTCACGGGGTATTCATCTCGCAGGAATTGAACATAGGGGCGGTACGAAACACTGTGCACGTAATTTATTCAGGGCTCCGGGTAAGTTTCGCCCGTTCATCTAAATTATCCCTCCGCGCAGTGCTCATTGCTCATATTCAGTTCATGCAACTCCAACAGTCGTGATAATTCACGTCTAACCGAATCGTTGTCCGCGGCGATTAGACTATACACCCCTGCTCCTCTTGCTGGCGAACCTTCTCTCAACAGCAAAATGGTTGATTAGGGCCACTGAGATATTCGGACGTTGTGTATGCTGTCCTGTTGAAGAATTTCAGCATACTAGGCCTCGACCATGGGGCCCCGGGTTCGATCCCCTCGTCCAAATTATCCGGCAATTGTGATGTTTTTTTTTCCCCTCCTTTTCCTTTTTGCCCGCGCGAGTCGGTGATTTCTCTAGGCGCAAAATTGGCAATCTAGGCTCCGGGAGTTTATGTACACGCCCGAAGGTCAAATTAAACATCGCTGTATTGCCCTTCGGTCGGAGTTTAACAGGTACGGTCAATCCTGCGACCTCCATCGAACCCACCAGCCTGACACATACATCTATTGGTAGCGGGCGTGGTGTAGGGTACACAGCGCGCATGAGAGCGGGACTTCATCATTGTATCTCGCCATCTGGGGTTCGAGCACCCGCGTCCGATCAGAGCAAGCAGGGGGAATCATTTTTTCTCTCGTTCCCCTTCTCAAGTTGTGCTGCGCCGATTCCTTCAATACCCCTGCTCATTGCCTCCTCACGGAAAGTGCATTTATCCATACCGACGTTTGCCCTTAATCAAGGAGGAGCGGGAGGCGAATCGAGGGCCTCTATGGAACGATCCTTGACGTCCCAGGGATGCAGCCTTGTCCGGGTACGACGAAGGCCAAAAAGTGATCTAACCCGGGATCGAACCGAGGACCGCCCGCGCACGCATGGAATGTGAAGCGGATGTGATAAACCAACTACACCATCAGACCTGTGGACGGCTCGTCGCATGGTGTCCACCTGCACGGAGTGCGACACTCGCTGGTATGAGAATTTTTGCGGTTGAATCCGCCAGATGGGTCGGAGGGCATGATGTGCTTCGATCTCTTGATCAAAAATGCTGGACAGACATTCGAGAGATCAAAACTTGATCGACTCGCCCGGACGAACTATAAGTCTGATAAGCAAAACACCACCTGGTCGCCAGGACACTGCCCGGGTGAGACTTGAACAACTTTAATTTTTCTGCTTTCAACAAGGGCCAATGAAGGTGTTTGTTATAAACTTATAATTCTCCGAAGTTCGAATACCTGGTACCTCGCTAACGAGCGTGACCCACCACGCCGACCCCGCCTCGCAAGCTCGTCGGTGGCGGCGACGGTGCGTCCCTCTGGGACGAACCCCCTCGCTTATGCTCGGGCGTACTCGTCGGCTGACACCTCTAGGTGCGTACCCGCAACCAACCAAAAAGAAAGATAACCGCGAAGCGGTTATTTTTCTTTTGATTGATTCGTGAAGCGGATGTGATAACCAACTACACCATCAGACCGCGCATGCAACGCAGTCCGTTGATGTCTCGGTTATCTTAACATCTTTCTACATAAGCGGCAAAGATCTAGAGCCCCGTAAGTGTACATTACTTCGCTCAAGCTCAATTATTGCAACAAAAAACACAGACCAAGTTCGTGTTTTTCCTCGTGACGGGACAAATACGTGGTGGCGACTGGGAGAGGCCCCGGATCTGTGTTATATCTGCAATACATTCGACAAGACCACTGTAACTGGTTCGATCTGAGACCAAGCTAAGTATGAAGGTGCGAAACATTTTTGATCTTGTCCGGCTTCACGAGATCTTTGTCCGATGCTCGCTTGTCACCGGAGCAGCAGACCTCGAGGAACAAGCAATTTTTTGGAGACAAATTTTCCCCACTCGAGCCGTTTTGAAAAGTCGTGGTTGAAATTCTGCGGACCAATGTATCGGCCTGGTAGCGGGAGGACGCAATTGTGTTCCATCATAGAATGCATCGCAATACCACCTATTCCATCCAGTAATAAGTCATGGATGCATTCTCCTGTTCATTTGACCCGCTCGGTACCGTTACACATGCATTTGAAATTTCAGACGGAAAGTGCGGAACAGACGATTGCGAGTTTACTAATCCTCCACACCATTTTTAAAAATTGTAGCTAATGTCCTCCGCTTAAAGGAATGAACGAGGAATGGTACCAGGCCGCAAACATAAATTTCGCCCCGGGCCATATTTGTGACTCGGGACCAAGCCTTAGGCACACCCTGAGGTAGACGTTTTTTTTTCTGCTCGGATTCGAGGAAGCTCATGCGACTTTCAGGCGCACCAGCAACGTCGACTCTCAATTTCAAAGACAATTTCTCTCTTATCGGAAAGTTATCGTTTGTTTCCCAAGTTGCCGACACCGTCGGCATGATGGGACATCACTGCATCATTATGCGTCGATCGCACGGTCACGCTGTCAAGCTTGGCTTCTGCTCGGTGCTCCCACCTTCCCTCTCTCTGGCAGAGCGGCCGCAGCGCAGTCTCATCCTGTTGGTGCTACTGGACTGCTGCGACCCTCGTACTCTTGGCGGCAGCTCTCCTGGTCCCGTTCTGGCCTTAACCTAATGTCTCCTGCGTTTCTGCGTCATCGGAGTCGCACTGCCGCAGATATACACGTCCTTTCTGCACGCTCCGCTGTGTGAGTCCAGACTATCCACACGATATGGAGTGCTCGCACTGAATTGTATTGGAACCAGTGTGACCTCCCTAAACGGCTGGCAAATATTCGGAATCGTCGTTATCGTCGTTGTCCTCGGCTTGCTCGTGGGTGGCTGGTTCTGGTACCAGAAACGGTCTGCACGTCGTCCTCCCGCCGCAGATGACGCTCAGCTGCCCGTGGAAGCAGTGGCTGACAACTCCAGCGGCAAAGGGACCGCTACGACGTCGGAGGCCCAAGGTCAGGAACTCGCCATGCACGACTTGGCGCGCCCCCTGTCATGGATCTCGCACTACGGAACGGGGCCCGCGCATCCTCCCCCTGGCGCAAGAACAACAGGGGAATCGCCACCGAATGGCTCCAACGTCCCTTGGCCGAATTTGAATTCAAACGCGCTGAGGCTGGAAAATATGTTCCACGCGGACGGGACGGATGCTGTGGCGGCCACGATGGGGAGCCCGGGGGACATGACAGCGACTGAGTCCGCCGCTGTCGTGCCTGCTGCGTCTCGCGTGAAAACAGCTCCAGCCAATGTCGAGCCTGAAGCTGCCCCCGTAGCCGTGTCGGCTCCAGAGGCGGACGAGAAAAACAACTCCGCGCCCGCAGAATTAGCTCCTCCGCCGTCGACAAAGTCCGACTCGGATTATTTCGGTGCAGCTAACGTGGTACCTGTAGCGCCATCTTCCTCTCGACCTGCCTCGACTGATATGGCCACGCGAGCTGGAGGGTCATGATCTATGGATGGATGTATTTACGTATTTCAGGTATACCCGCGCTTGCCGAGTATACTCCTGAGAAGTCGTCGCTGAAACATCTCTCAGTCTGTTTATGCACATACTTTCAATGAACGACGTCTTTACGGATACTCTACAGATCGAATGATACTCACAATACCGCCCAAAATCCACAGCAAACGCCTTTGAGATGTGAATACCCTGCTTGGTAGCGCGTGGTCCGCCTTCCCTCTTCGTTCACAGGAGCAGCCAACTTCCTTGCAGAAGCTACTTGTTCGATTTCGGTCCAAGCCTTCGCCCAAGTTTTGTGTGCCGTTCTTTTTCGCCACAAGCAGATGCAGACTGGGCTAATTCATTACAAGCAACGGTCAACACACTGATGCTGTGACACCACTTCGTGGTTTACATGGAAATAACACATTATGCGCACATTAATTTGACGCACTGCAGTTCAAGAACATAACACAAAGTCCTTGGTCACCTTCCACCGCATTTGTAAAACTTCAGACCGAATACGTCGAGTGCGGAACCCAAATCAAACTGTGGGAACTTAATTGATGGCTCTGATGCGCACTTCCGCCCAAAACCCTGACGACCTCCGGCACATCTCAGTCCCCTGGTGCAGCATAAAAATACCTAAACACCATCCACATGCTCTCTACGAACTTCTGGACTGCTCCAGATTTATCTGTTGCCTCACGACGTCTCCAGAAATGAAGTAACTGCATCCTTTCCTTTCGCGATTGGACCGGGCAAGTTTCACCGGGTTCCAGGACAACGTATGAATAAATTATATTTTCACATGGCTCTCTGAATTCCAAATTTCCCTGTACTACCATCATTTCTGGCTGTGTTGTTCACATGGATGCCTTGGTTTCTGTATCTCAATTTTACCGTAACTACGCCGACTCTCGGGCCATGGACATGTATTTAATCCCTTAGACTGTTCCCCTTCCTCGTTACATTTCCCCCTGTACTTCTGCCCTCTAGCAGGAATATAAAAGTGTCACCATCTTGCGTTGCATCTACAGGCTTCGAGAAAATATCCTCTAAAGCCTCCTCTTCTGCCTCATCATCCTCCGGTCGTCAGCGACCACATCTCTTGGACAAGTATCGTTTATCTTGTTCATACACTAACCTTCTCGAAAGTTTCTAGGTTACAGCTGCATTAGCAGTTCATCGAATTCTTCCCAGTTACCCACCAAATTCCCTCTTGCGAACGACCATCCGTGGTATTTTGCAATCACCTATACTTTGTTCAGTTCGCACGGCATACGGAGCTGAATTGAACTAACAGTCACCCACCCGATTACCGTGACTAACGTCAAGTCTCATCGGTACTTCGGTGTATAAAATCTACGCGTCACAATGCTTGATGGCCTCGCGTCGAATTTACCGCCTCTCAAATTCTCCGTGCGAGATCAGTTCCGACCGGCGCTCAGTTTATAGGCCCACAAATGCTGTCCGAATCCATCACACAAAACTGGGTTCGCACCAGGATGTAGAAGGTTTGGTGGCGGGTGGTCTCTCCTAAATGTGCAACCAAGACACCCGTTCGATTCGGGTTCGAGCCCTAGTAGGACTGTTAATGCGTGGACTTTTTCCCCCGGTTTCCTCTGGCAGCAACTGGGAACGTAGCTCTCCTAATGTAGAGCCCGCTGACGACTCGATAACCGCCTCCGCGTCTCGTCCATTGCACGATTTTCAACGCGGCTAGCGTCAAAACCCCCCGCACCAAGTCGGGCCCGCGCAAGGATAGGTGGGATATATTGAATCAATGCTTGTACAGACAGCTATGCGAAATACTTGGCACAGTAAGGATATCGGATACTGAGTACATTACGAACTCAGTGCTGCTAATGAATGTGCAGTAGCTCCTCGGTGGCTTCGAGAAGGTTTTCGACCTCTTTCAGCTCCTCGGATCCGCACAAGTCTTGATTGGAAATACGGATCAGGCCGTCATGCAACGTAGGGCGCTCAGTGCGCTTGGGAAACATCCAACAGCGCATGCGACCCGAGTCGGAGATGCATATGAAACGTAGCTCCATGCGCCCCCCACTCCGCGGGGCTGGGTGAAAATGCCGCGACTGCCGCGGCGCTGCCGCGCACTGACGCGGCATTGCCGCGCATTGACGCGCGGTGGCTGTGTTTTGCCGCGGCAGTGCCGCGCGCACCTTATAACTTTCGAGGGAATGCTCTGGAAGCTTTGAGTGACTATTGTTAGCTTTGCCTAAGCCATATACATTGTTTGCAGTCAAAAAATCAACGCCGCAACTTTGTCCACTATCGAAGTTGCATTCGGTCGTCTCGAGTGAATAGGGTATTTTACAAGAACCACGGCACCGATTCCCCAGGGTCCAAGCACGGCTTAAACTAGTCGTTAGGAGCCACTAGGCCTGATATTTACATCAGAATAATCTGTACTTCAAAAGCTCGCTGTCCTCGACCGCAACGACCGAATAGGGAAATTTCCGAGAACCACTGCGGCGATTGCCCAGACTCGAATGGGGGCTTGAACTCCTGAATGA